CGGGTTGCTGCTTTTCGTGAAGTGGGATTTTCCCATTAGGTTTCTAGTTTGGTTGTTGTGTGCGCCTGCCTTGTTTTCTCTGCGCAGCAGGGCTTTTCACTGGCCTGCTTGGTCGGCCTGCCGCTTTTCGTGAAATGGTTCTCTTTTAGTAGAGCTTCTAATTTGTTTGCTGTTTGTGGCTGCCATTTTTTTGTGAAGCTGGACCCCTTTCAGGGCCTGTAGTTGGCCTGCTTGGTCGGCCTGCTGCTTTTGGTGAAGTGGGACTTTTTTGGAGGGCTTCATCACAATACAGCTGATGCGCCTCGTAATAGTAGCAATGTCCTTTTGCTTGAACAGCACATATGGCTTGCTATCTAAACTGGCAAACCCCAATGAAAAACGACTGAAGAAGGTAAAAACAGATTAAAACAAGTACAACACGATTAAACAAATAAAAAAATAAACAAAGACAAAACAAAAAAATATACTATCTTTTAATATCTTCCATATCTTTTAGTAGAGAATGTGTGAACACTTATTATCTTTTACTTTCCCGAGTAGCTACTCCTAAGTCTACTATAAGTCCGCCGGAACATAGCCAAACAAATCTAAGATAAACATAGGTTAACCACCTGATAAACAGACTTATGTCTGACATACTATCCTCTATTTCCAAGCTATCTGACTGCGAGCCTTCTTAGTACTGACAACTTGGTACAATTCTATGCGACTTTTACGCGGCGTATGTATTGTTCAATGATTGTTGCGTATAAAAACCGTTTTACGCATAACCTATGCATAACTTCTGCATAACTTCTGCATAACTTCTGCATAGGATTTGTTTTATGCAGCCTATGTCACTGACAAAACAACTTCTGCATATATGCAGAAGTTGCCCTACTAAAGTCAGTATTACTTCTGCATATATGCAGAAGTTATGCAGCCTATGTTTTTTTTATGCAGAAGTTATGCAGAAGTTATGCAGAAGTTATGCAGAAGTTATGCATGTGTGCCCTCAGGTTTTGCATATTCCACACTTTATGCACACATAGTGTTATAAAAAACGATTTTGGGTTTGAGGAGCTGTTTTTTTGAGGCCGACGCCTGATGACATCATCAAGACCGCACTGTCAGAGGACGCGGTCATGACACCCTACCAATGGAAAAATCCCACTTCAAGAAAAGCAGCAGGCCGAGCAAGCAGGCCAGTGACAAGCCCTGAAAAAACCAACTGCACAAAAAAACTGGCAGCCACACACACAACAAGCAAACTAGAAGCCCAATGGAAAAATGCTTTTCAAGAAAAGCAGCAGGCCGACCAAGCAGGCCAGTGACAGGCCCTGAAAAAACCCCCCTTCACCAAAAAAAAGGCAGCTAGAGACAACAAGCAAACTAGAAGCCCAATGGGAAAATCCTACTTCAAGAAAAGCAGCAGGCCGACCAAGCAGGCCAGTGACAGGCCCTGAAACAAATGCACCTTCCCCCAAATAAATGGCAGCTATAGACAACAAGCAAATGGGAAGCTCTACTGAAGACATCCCACTCCATGAAAAGCAGCAGGCCGACCAAGCAGGCCAGTGACAGGCCCTGAAAAAACCCACCTTCACAAAAAAAAAGGCAGCTAGAGACAGCAAGCAAACTAGACGCCCAATGGAAAAATCCCACTTCAAGAAAAGCAGCAGGCCGACCAAGCAGGCCAGTGACAGGCCCTGAAAAAAACCCACCTTCACCAAAAAAATGGCAGCTAGAGACAACAAGCAAATGCAGGCCAGTGACCGGCCCTGAAACAAATCCGCCGTCACCAAAAAAAATGGCAGCTAGAGACAGCAAGCAAATGGGCAGCTCTACTGAAGACATCCCACTCCATGAAAAGCAGCTGGCCGACCAAGCAGGCCAGTGACAGGCCCTGAAACAAATCCACCTTCCCCCAAATAAATGGCAGCTAGAGACAACAAGCAAATGGGAAGCTCTACTGAAGAAATCCCACTCCATGAAAAGCAGCAGGCCGACCAAGCAGGCCAGTGACAGGCCCTGAAAAAAACCAACTGTGCAAACAACATGCATTTGATATTTTTCTTTTTGAACCCCCCAGGTAAAGAAACATCACTTTTGGGACTCGGGATTTTGATGTTTTGATTTGTTTGAACTCCCCAAGTAAAGAAACATCACGTTTGGGGCTCGGGATTTTGAACTTTTTGAACTTTTTGACTCCCCAGGTAAATACACTTTTGGGACTCGGGATTTTGAACTTTTTGATTCTTTTGAGCTCCCCAAGTAAAGAAACATCACGTTTGGGGCTCGGGATTTTGAACTTTTTGAACTTTTTGAACTTTTTGAACTCGTAAAGAAACATCACTTTTGGGACTCAGGATTTTGCACTTTTTGAACTTTTTGACTCCCCAGGTAAAGAAGCTTTTGGGACTCGGGATTTTTAACTTTTGATTTTTTTGAACTCCCCAAGTAAAGAAATATCACTGTGGGGGCCCGGGATGTTTGAACTTTTTGAACTTTTTGAACTCCCCAGGTAAAGAAACATCACTGTGGGGGCCCGGGATTTTGAACTTTGTGAACTTTTTGAACTCCCCGAAACATCACTTTGGGGGCCCGGTGTTTTGAACTTTTTGAACTTTGTTGGTCTCCCCAACCAAGCCAGGGTTATCGACCTTTTTTGTTTGTCCTTCAGTCCAGGAATTCAGATTCGAGGGGCTCTGGATGTTGACCTAATTTGTTTTTCCTAAATTCCCAAGTAAAGAAGCATGACTTGAGCGATCCAAGTTGGGTAACTGCCACCAACCCAAACTAAATGAAACAAGCGGCCCCTCCAAACAACCAACCCCAACTACATGAAACAAGCGGCCCCTCCAAACCAGCAACCGAAACTAATTACACACCGGCCCCCTCCAAACCACAAACCCAAACTACAGCAAATGGAAGAGCGGCCCCCTCCAAACCACCTGAAACTAGAACCATCGACCCAAACTAAAGGGAAAAGCGGCCCCTCCACACAACCAACCCCAACTAAATGAATCAAGCGGCCCCTCCAAACATCAACCCAAACCAAATGGAAAAAGCGGAGCCCTCCAAACTACCAACCCAAACTAAATAAATCAATCAGTCCCTGCAAACCAGCAACCGAAACTAATGGAAAACCGGCCCCCTCCCAACCAACAACGAAAATTGAATAAAGCTAGAAGCCATCAACCCACACTAAATTGAAAAAGCGGCCCGTCCACACAACCAACCCAAATTAAATGAAACAAGCGGCCTCTCCAAACCATCAACCCAAACCAAACGGAAAAAGCGGCCCCTCCACACAACGAACCCAAACTAAATGAAACAAACGGCCCCTCCAAACCAGCAACCCAAAGAAATGGAAAACCGCCCCCCCCCCACCCCCCCCCCAAACCATCAAATGGAAAAGCGGACCCCTCCAAACCACCGACGAAAATTACGTGAAATTAGTACAATCAACCCAAACTAGATGAAACAAGCGGCCCCTCCCAACCAGCAACCCAAACCAAATGGAAAAAGTGGCCCCCTCCAAACTACCAACCCAAACTAAATGAATCGAGCGGCCCCTCCAAACCAGCAACCGATAGACGGAGAACCGGCCCCCTCCAAACCGCCTACCCAAACTAAATGAACACCCTGAACCACAAACCCAAACTAAATGGAAAAAGCGGCCCGCTCCAAACCTCTTCTTTGCAAAGCCAGGTTTTCCCTCTTAATTTGTTTTACGTTTGGGGATTTTCAGATACTTATTTCACTGTAACAGGTACAAATATTATTGCGCCAGGATGATGCCATTGTTCGGATGATGATTATATATGGCTATGACTTTTTAAAGGTATGTCACGCCCCACGCAGCGCGAATCTTGGTAAGGAGGTATGTAAGGGGGGGCTCTTGTTAGTCTGTCATGAGAGAAAAAGTGCTTGACACTTCCGCAGTTCCAGCACGAAAGTCGCAACTATTGATTTATCCGGCCCCTTCCCTGCTAATTACATGTTGCAACATGTCTTCTGCTGCAGGGCAAGCTCTTTGCAACTCTGTGCATGTGTTTATCTTGTTTAATCTGTTTTAACATGTTTGTAATCGTTGTTTAATCTGTTTTTAACTCTTTGTTTTTGTCCTTTTTATCTTGTTTATCTGTTTTGTTTTTATGTTTTAACATTTTTTGTTATCTTTGTTTTTTTGCTGTACCTTTTTTTTTTCTTTAGTATCTTCCCATTAGAAGAAACAATAGATACTAAGTTCAGACTAAGTGTCCGGTATCTAATCTAGACTATCTACTTACTTTCTCTTATATCTGCACTATCCTGCCACGAGCCTTCCTAGTATTATGTGAATGTCGTGGTAGTGAAAGGAATTGAACAGTGAACACATCAGGTGGATGACACTACTACATATGATGCACGATGCTTGGGTTTATGTTGTGCACTTGGCCTGCGTGAGAAAATGAAGGTCCGGCTGATATCTGTATCGGCGGCTGCCATGACCACGAGCTGAGTTTGCACTATTCTGGCAAACCAGAGGTTAGTTTGTGTGAAACTAGGTCAGGTTGCCGTGTTTTGCTGGGGGAAGGGCCTGCCACACCTGGCTAGCGTTTTAGACTCTAAGTTTCGACTTTTAGGTTTTGGACTTAGACCCCAATCATAAGACAACACAGTATTGATGCTAGGAGTTTTTTTTTTTATGCGCCCGAGAGATTGAGTTTGCACATTATGGCAAACCAGAGGTTAGTTTGTATGAAACTAGGTTAGGTTGCCCTGTTTTGCCGGGGGAAGGGCTTGTCACACCTGGGTACGACATGAAAAATCCCATCCGTCACCCAAATCGGCTCGCGATAATCAGTAATATTTTGTTACGTAATGTAGGGAGTCTACCATTTCTCACACATACTACAGAAAATAGACGCAGTTTGTGAAAAAAAGACACACAGACAGACATACATTCATACACATGCAGTAACTATTTCGTGAATAAAAAACTACACACAGAGCTCATGTCTAGCGCGGCGGAGGGCCGCTTCGATAATCCGGACGAGTTCGACTGCCACAACCTGCCGCTGGTGGTCTTCGGAACCTTTGCGCTCTGGCGCCTTGGAACCAGTCAGGGATTGTTTGGGACATTTCACCGATTCGGGGGTAAGAGAAGCTGATTATAGTGTAGGTCTTGCGCTGGTAAATCCAAATTTTGTTTCAGCTCTTGGAATTAGTGTATTGGATGATCGGGGTGATTTCTTTCCCGAAGGCGAAGGTTCCTCTACTGGGGCCCCTCCTAACCAACCAAGGGTTGTGAATCCTGAGTACTCGCTACTTGATAGGGCTGGCGAGTAACAGTCGCTAGTTAGCACATGGCTTGCCTCAATTGTGGGAAATTAATTTCCTGATTAAGTGTCCTGTCTTGCTCTTTAGCGTGCGCTTGAAGTCGCCTCCTTTGGTTGTTGCCACATGGGGTTGTCTCAAAATTAAGATCCCTCGTTCAAATGTTTCCCCGGAAAAAGGTACCAGCTCCAATGAAGCAAGGCCGCATGTTCTTGCTGGCTGCTCGTTTGATCACTCGTTGCACCTTTTGTGTTGTTCTTGTCTTTCATTGTTCCCCGCCCGCCGCTCCGGCTGCAGAATCGGAAGTGGCTGCGTGCAAGGGTGGCGCGCGAAGAGCGCTCCCGCAGCTCCAGCTCGGAAATCGCAACTTTCAGCTCGAAAAAGCTGCAACTTGAAAATGGAAAAGCGACACGCGAACTACGCATCCGTATCTGCAAGATCACAACTTGTAGCGCAAAAGTAGTGTGCGAAGTACACTTCCGCAGCTAAAGCCGCCAGCCTTCTTGCGCATTCAAGCTGCGCGCAGATATGGACAAAAGAGGTTTTCAAGAGAGGACATGAAAGATTTTGCAAGAGAGGTTGCAGAGCATCAAGCGCATCATCATGCGATGCACCGTGCGCGGCGTCATGCGACATCATGCGCAACATCCCGCGCAACCTCAAGCACAGCTTCGCGCGCTTTTATGGGTGAATTTTGTCGCCAGGAAGGATGCCGCGTTGATGTTTAAAGAGATCCTCTCGCTCACTCGCCTTTGTGACATCGCCCTCCGATTCCGTTTGGGACTTCGACGGCATGCTCTGCATGCTGAGGGTCAAGACCATAGGTGGCCTTTTGATCGGTTCGTTTGGTGAACAAAAGATGGGATCGAACATTTAGATCAAAGACGGGCTGCCGTCCTGGAGATAAAAAGGCTGAAGAAGGGATGAGAACTTCCCCACACTTCGTGAGACAGCATTCCAAACTCGTCTTGAGCATAGGCGTCCTGTTGGGAAAATACACGGATTTCCCCGGTAAACCGTTCACAAAACCCAACGATATCAAGCCAGAGCATCGCGCGCGCAGGAGAGATTGTGAAGCATGCGGCTAAGCTTGCTCATCAGAACTCGCAGAAGCTACGCTGGAACAGGGACATTGACGTGTTGCGATTGGTTTCTCATCAGGTGGGAAAGGTTTCAGAGTTGATTCAGCGTTTTTCTATGCTTCCGGGCCACCTGTCGTGAGGATAAACCTCATCAGAACTCGCAGAAGCTACGCTGGAACAGGGACATTGACGTGTTGCGATTGGTTTCTCATCAGGTGGGAAAGGTTTCAGAGTTGATTCAGCGTTTTTCTATGCTTCCGGGCCACCTGTCGTGAGGATAAACCCAATACTGTTTCAGGTATCTTGCCGGGATAATTTTGCTATGTGTTTCTTTTTGGGGCAGCGCTCCAATGTCGTTTTTTTCCCCCCGCCGGTCCCTGACTTCCACTTTCCAAAAGCACTGGCTCCAGGCCTTCAAGCTCGGTTTTTCTTCCGGCCCGTGGGTTCGCGCTTTTGGTTCATTGAACTTCACAGGTTTCTTCGGCAGGCGTTGGCGCAACTGGCGTTCACCCAGTGCAAGTCCTCCAAAGCTCATGGGTTCAACTTGTGTTTGGTTGGTTGGGGTTGGTTGGTTATGTCTGGAAGCCAAGATTCGGCCCATCCGGCGAAAAATGTCACTCACAAATCCTCGAGAGGTTCGGGTGGTACGGCTTCAACCCTGGCTCCACCCTGGGCATGCACGACGGCGCCACCGGAGCCATGGCCGCGCAGGTGCCTGGTTGTGGGTGTGACACAAAAAGCTGGGCTGTTCACACTTGCTCAAAACCGTTTCGGGTAGACGAGGGTTAAGGAACGATCCCAACCAGAAATAGCTGCGGAGATTCGCCTTCTCAATTCTTGCATTGTAGCATGGTTCTGGGTAGACCATTTTAATACCGGGTTTTGAGCAAGTGACTCACCTGGGGTTACGCAAGGATGTGGTCCCCTTTGTGGCTTTCCTTTTGGGGGGTTATGGAGAATCGGATTGGCCAACCCTCCATTTTGAACAGCCCAGAGAAGTGGGAAAGACCCTTTTGGACTGAACTGCAAAAAAAAGGAACCACCTCACAAGCACGAGTGGTTGGTCATAGATACCCCACTTGAATTGGTGGCGGTTTTTCAGCGCTTGGACCCTTTGGACATCATTCAGGGGGTTCATGTCCACCAACCACTTTGAAAGTTCACCTGGTTTAAATGGAAACCAACAAGCAGGAAAACCGAAGCCCATACTTGGAGCCTAAATCCCTATTTTGACACATTCCCAGTTAGGTTTGTTTCCGATTTAGAGCCACTGCCAAGAGGGTCCGCCCAAAGAAGATCAATGGTGGAGATGAATCCCCACCAAATTCTGATGTTCACCAAAGGGGCCAGAAAGCTACAGGTCCAAAAAGCCACACACCCTTTGGGTATCTGTTAGAAAGGGGCCTCCGGGCATGGTGGTTTTTCCTTTCAACCTCGAAGCAGACTTGCACACATGCCCACCTTAACCTTTGCCCAGTGGATGAGGGAGTGACGTTTTTTGGGTTTCCTTTTTTTTCTTCTCGGAAACCACGAGGAAACCGAGGCCCATTGGGGGGGTTCCGATTCCTATTTTACGAACCCATGAGGTGGCCATGAACACCACACTCTCTGCGGCCACCGGCGGCATCACCGTGTTTTTGCTGCGCTACGCCATCGTGAGGCGCTGGGCTGGGTTGGGTGGGTCCTTTAGGGGAACCTGACCCCCAAAATGTGGCTTTCCTTTTCGCTCCCGTTCAAACGCTGCCCAAAAAGGGCATCCTCAAAAAAGACAGACCCGCATGGTTTCCCGTTTGGCTTCCCCTTACACCCCAAAAGGGCTCAAAAAGACCCCCCCCCCCCCGCGCGTGTCAAGGTCTTGCAAGAAGTGGGCTGATGGGATCCAACCTCCTCACGCCGAACTGGCCTTTCTTCCAAGCCACTCCCTTTTCCCGGACTGGATGAAACTTGGGCATGCGTCCAATCAAAAAAAACTGGGATGTTCAATCGGCTCGTCCAGTTCGTGGCCTAGACGTCTTGCTGGGGCCAGGCGGGAGCCTGGGGGGTCATAGGTCAATGTGTTCAGCATGTGAATGATCTAAAGCCAGACTGCATGAAGAACCAAGGGTTTATTCGCCAGGGTTCCCAATCATTTGCAACTGTTGCTTCCAAACCCTCCAAGGAATGCCAAGTAGCTTTCGCTCCTTCATGAAATGAATAGACAAGTTAATAGGTATGTGCGTCAAAATAAGACACCCCCAAAAGTCGTGGCATCCTTCTTGTTTTTCCTTTAAACCAAGGTGAACCGTACGCCGAAAAGAACAACCGCACACCCAAATGGATTCTTTACGGGATTTCCCCCGAAAAACGAGCACAGCGAAGTACCAGGAAGTACGACGTGGGGGCTCTGTGCAACGGCATCCTGGCGGGGCTCGCGCCCTTGCTCCAAAAGCTTTGCGCATGCAAAAAGGGGCAGGGGAGGGGGGGGGGGGGTGAGCTCAGATTTGCTTTTGGGGCCTTGGGAACGGCTGTTCCAGTTTGTTTTGCGACCGGTTCAATCCATTTGGGCCCCAAATTGTGAAAGACTCGAAGGGACCAGCGACGTTTCCCGCAGTTCACTCGAAGGTTGTTAGGGTCTCGACGGCTTGTGCGCAAAATCCCAGCAGAAACGTCCGACTTCCGGGTCTGGAGATGGGACACAGGCCAGCGGCTCCTTGGGTCCCGAGTGCCTCAAACCACCGAAACTAGGATGAACTTTGGCCGTGGCAGTCCCTGCAAGGAGCGCCCTTTTGGCTCTCTACAACTTTTGCGGGACACAGTGAATTCCCTTTTCTTTGTTTGTTTTTTCTATATCAAGCGGATACACTCGCATGCATACGCGTGGTGATTTTTTGGGTAGGGAAGGGAGCTTTGGAGTTCTTCTCTCACAGTCTGTTGCAGGACAGAGCAGTTTAACTGGCTTGTTCATCAATCCTTACACTCCCTCAGACTAACATGGAAGCTGACAGGAGGGGGTTGGAAGACTACATTCCTTTTGGGGAACCCCTCTGTCCACTTCCATGTTTGTTGGCGGGAGGGTAATCCTTGTGCCAGATGGTTATATGAGTTATATGTCTTTCCCTCTCAGTTTCCCGCTACGGAGTCCGCATTGGCGATCCACTATTGCCTTGATCTATTTATACAGCCGGCTTTGGTCCCTCTGCATAACTCAACCCAACTCCTGTTCTACTAGACACATTGTTTTTGTTTTTTTGCCGACACGGGCCGGCGCGGACCCGACGAGTCTGCTGCAAATCCTGATGCATCAACCTGGCAAATCAACCTCGTGGATTTTTGTTGGGGTGGTGTTTCCCGGAAAAAATGGCGGACTTTCCTTTCAGACGGCTTTGTCTCACAACAGGGGCTTCGCAGCAAGGGGTGGTTTCCTTTGGTTTCCCTTCAAAACAACCACCAAAGAGGTCCCAAATGGGACACGGGACAGCCAATCAAAATCAACCATACAAAATTGTTTATAGTTGGGTTAGCGAAAATCTTGGGAGCCTTTTGGGATAGCAGGCTGAACATCTACGTAAAAAAAAGGGGGTGAATACAAAAGCAGAAAGACGCATCGGGGTTCTGCGACTCTGAGAGTGTCTGTAGGTGTCCATCACCGCTGGGTGCGGCAACATGGAGTGCGGCTCCGCCTTTGCGACAGGGCTGGTGGGGGCGCTGGTCTATCAGCTCTCCTCCATGCTGCTCCAGAAGCTCCGGGCGGGGAACTCGACGAGTTCGGGGCGCTTCGTTTTCTTCTCGCGCGGCCGGTCCGTGTTTTTTTGATCGTGCAGGCCGAAGGAGCCAGGGTCCGGCACTTTTGCCGATTGGCTTGGTCTTTTTTTGTTTTTGAGTTGTTGCCCAGTTTGGGCATGGTTCAGCGGGAAACCAACGAGACTTTCGGCTTGGAGTTCCGGAAGACTTCGGTACGTATTGCAGTACTGGCAGATTGAGGTCAAGCTCTGGTTTGACAGACCATAGGAGTACTATCTTAGAACCTCTCGCTTGCGAATGTGTGGAGCAGGTGGTTCTACTATCTGCTTTAACCAGGATTTTCTGAAGGCAAACAAACTCGAACAGACGAGGTAGTTTTCATTGTGGTGGCTTCCCGGGATCATGGAGAATCGGTTTCTGGGGGGTTGCACCAAACTCCCACCCGGTCGATTGGTCAGATCGATGACCCCGTGGACGCGTCGCCGGTGCACGGCTTCTGCGGCATCTGGGGCTGCCTCGCCTGCGCGCTCTTCGACTGGGGCAAGGCTCAGGGTGCGATTGAACCGTCCAAGTCCGGGCAGCTTTAAAAAAGAAAAGAAGACCAGTTCTGTGATACAAGGGAATCTCCCCCTTGACATGGTGGTTAGCAATTGGGAAGCCCTTTCCGTTGTATCGCACAAGTGGTCATTTCCCACACGGTCCCACAACCTGATCATACATGCGAGTATACAAGTCTGGTAGTTGGTAAAATTTTTGGATCGAGAGTGGATGTGAACCCAGCATAGGCCATTGCAGCAAACAGTGAAAAGTCCTGGCTACTTTCATTTGCAAGGAGCTGCACCGGCTCGAAGTTGACCTCAACGATGTGATCACCTCTGATTCGCTTTGAAATTGCATGAGCAGGATCATATGGCCATGGGTCAAAAGCCCGTAGCCTCAGTGAACATTCCAATCCCCACTAAAATAGACTAAAACGGGTGGTGAATTCACCCACCCCAAAATGGGATCCCTTTGGTTTTGACCCACAGCCATATCGTCTTCAAAAGTCTCCGGCTGGGAAGATGGCAAGGGTCAGTCAACCAAAAAACAAAGGTTGTCTCTAAGTGGAGAACCCCAAAACTGGTATTTTATTCTTGCTTTCCCTCTTAAGCAGCCCCCAAGTGGTACTAACTGCCAAGCAGGTCCTGTTCAAAAGAAAAACACGCAGGTTTGTGCATTACAGTGATCTACCGTTGTTTGCCTATATGGTACTCATGCCGTGTTGCTGGCTCTCAAACTCAGAGACAACATTTTTTTTTTTTTTTTTTTTGGGGGGGGGGGGCGGGCGGACGTTTAGAGGATAAGCCGAAAGTTTGGTAAACCGTTGGCAGGGCGTGGACCACTACCACGGCTGGAGCGGCTGGGGCTGCATGGCCAACACTGATGGCAGCTGCAAGACCGGCATCGGCGGCTCCGCCATTGGCGCGCAGTTCATCATGATCATCATGATCATCGCCGTTCGGCAAAGTCAAGTTGATTTCTTTTTATCTCGCGTTGAGATTCAGGGCTTTGGTTCCTTTTTTTTTTTTTTTCGACGGCTCCATTCCTTTCAGCCATGCGGCCTCAGAGCCCATGTTCGGTTCCAGTGCTGTGCCCCGGGGTGCCAGCGTGAGGGCCTATGGAACGGGAGCTCTGGTTGGAGGCTTGGGTTTTCGGCTCATCATCCCCCCCCCCACCCAAGGGGAAGATTTATCTTGGGTTGAGGTGCTTGGGGTAGGCGCTTAGTCCTTTCTATCGCAAAATCCTCTTGGCCTTGCCGATGGCTTTGTACGGAAGGCTATTTTTTGGGTTGTTTCTGGTGCGTCAGCCACTGCCTTGAACACCAGGTTTCAATGAGAATGATTTTCAATGACTCGGTTAGGTTGGAAGTTTGTGTGATACATCAGAAAAGGTCCGAATTCTTGTTCCTTGCTCAGTTGGACATTGGCATGTGCCAAAAGACCATCCTTTCCACTAGGCAAATATGGACCTCGAGCAAGGTCCAGTTCTAGGTGTCAAGAATTGTTGACGTCCTTTGCGCATGGAACAAGTGAGGCAGAACGGGTGGAGCCTCCCCGTTCCCTCCCATTCCCTCCCTTCCCCTCTCCACTTCCCTTGCCCACCTTCTCCCCGCTTCCCCGATCCACCCCTTGCCCACCTCGTCAATTCCAGCTTGGCTTTCAGATCTGGGCGGGCGGCTTGTCTGGCCTCACCTTCTTCATCCTCAAAGTCACTGGACTGCTGCGGATCAGCGACGAGGTGGTGCCTTGGCTGAGGGGGCTCGTGGGACTTGTCTCAGGCATTTTGGGGGCAATTTTTCTCCAACAATGTTGGAGATGAGCTCCTTGAGTATTTTTCCAAGTGCCAAGAGAAGCGCCCATTTTTCTCATGGCCACTTGGGGTCTGGCTATTTGTTGAGCCCAGAGTCCAAAAGGTGGTTTTGGAGACTGCCCATGGAGGGAGGCCTGGCTAACGGGGCGATCGGGTGGTGTGTGAGTATGTTGTTAATGACTACCAACTACGTACTCAGTACCCTGCCCTTCAAGCAAGGTATGTACGGTGGAAGATGAGCTCGTTTGGTTTTTCTCTGCCAGACCTTGTTCCGAGCAACCCAGTGATGCCTTTGGAGTTGGAGCACCCAGAGTTCAACCACCCCAGATCCTAGTGCCTGGTCTAAGTGGGGATGCATCGCTTTTGGAGGGGAGCATCCCCCGACGGGTTTAGTAATACGGGGTCGACAATACCAAGACACAATGGAATGAGTTCGTCGGGACGCTCCCAAGACTCGTGGGGAGGTGAGCCAATTGCAGGCGCCTTTCGGCAGAGAGCTAGCAGAACTGGCAGACATGTCAAGCCTCGAGAGTGGAGACGTAGAGCCAGACACGTTCCCCCCCCCCCCCCCCCTTTTTTTTTTCCTTCCGGTTTTCAAGAGCGCCCTCGAGCCAACCACCCACGGCCTGGTTCCGTGAGATTTGGTTGCCGGGTTTTTCAAGGAAGATGTCGGGCTGGACTCGCACCACCACAGCCCACCCAAGGCGCGCGACGGGGGGCGGGGGGAACCAAAGGCTTGTAAGAGAGATGGTTTTTGTCTCCATGTCTCCATGTGAAGGCAAGAATCAACAGATTGGACCCCAAGACAGCAGACCAAATTGTGGGTATCAATTTGGTTGAGTCTTAGCGAGCCGTGAGTTGCATGGGTGTGTGTGTTTTTACGGGATCTTCACAATGGATTTTGGTTTTCCTTCTGGTTTCCTTCAAAACCACCAAAATGGGGGTACCTTCAGAAAAGACACACCCATAATGTCAACCATGTCAACCAACAGGGTTCAGTTCAGGGATGATGTTTTTTTTCTCCCCAGAATTTTGGGGTAGGAAGTTTTTGGGCTGCTTCCCTTCCCAAACAACATCCCACCCAGCACCCCCGAAGGCCGCGAGTTCCGACGCAAACCTCGGGCTCATTGAACGCGAGGGCTCGCGTTCGATCGAAGTCGTTTTCGAGTGAGGCCTACTCTTTGAGTGGCTGTCCGACCAAGACGGTGGAGGTGGGTGCGGCCACCGGGGTGGTGCCTGGGGAGCCCAAAGGTGCTTGGGCCGCCTGAGCCCAGTCTGAAGGGCCGAAGGAAGGGAGGGAGAGGTGAGTTGTCTTTCTTTCGTTTGGGAGATGGTTGTGGTGCGCGCAGTGTGTTGCTTGTTGTTTGTACGGGAAACTCTCGTGGTTTGTTTGCTCCTCCTTACTTTTTGTCAGGTTCCCCGGATGAAACGCCGGGGTGCCAGTGGAGTTAGTTCTGGGGGATTTCCCCATTTGGCCTGGGTGGGGGGAACCTTTTTGCCCAAGGTCTCCTCAACCCAATCATTGGAGTGCCAGACCCTTCGCATCGGGGATTGGCGTCTCTGGACTGTACGGTTAGGGCCACGTCGGAGCTTTGCCCAAGGAAAGTGGAGCTTTCAGGGCGATTCGCTCGCAGGGTCGATGCGTGGTTCATTTTCCGGAATCGCAACCCCGGATCGCGCAACATCCAGATCCGGGCGAGCGGTAATCTAGCGAGGCAAGCAGCTGGCTGTTGGAATGGCACCACCGGAATGCTGGGGGATGTGTGGAATCCCTCGGGAACACTGACAAATTCTACAGGGCTATGAGCAGAAGCAGGTATAGTAAAGGGTCGAACTGAGCAAAGCAGGCGGGAGGGGTGACACGGGGCGAGGGTGGGGATGGTCAACTGAAGACGCAAAGATTCTTACCTAAATTTGGTAGACTCCTTTGATACCAAGTTTTGGGTAGGACTACCGCTTCAGCGCCCTTTGAATCGGACGAGTTCTTTGCCAGGATGTCTGGACGAAATGGAAACAGTGCCAGCAAAAGCAAGGCCTTTGAGGCATACACATTTTGCCATTCCGCAAACACCTGTCCATTATGTCGGTTTTCCAAAAGAAAGACCGTTAAGGCAAGCGGGAAGGCGGGTGGGAGGGGGGGTTGAGGCTTTTGTTTTCCATGAAGGCTCATTTGTCATTCAGCTTGCCATTCCGGCGTGCTGAATCCAGGCACGCCCGGCCAGCTTTTAGCTGTCTCCTTATGGCTTGACTAAGTCAGCCGCTGGACTGTTCGCAGAACCGAGCTTCGATGCTGAGCCACAAAAGCTTCGGCTGAAGGTTGGGCGGCACGGTGGCCAAAGGTCCGGCAGAAGGTGCAGCAAGAGGCCCCTGAAATTCTTCACATGATCGGCTATGAATGGTCTACCTCGGCCGCAGGCAACTTGTTCCACATTGTCTTTGCTGTTTACATGTGAAAGAGGACACCTCTTGTGAAAAGCATGTCGGAGAAATCTGACGAAGGGCATCAGCAAAGGGAACAAATAGAACAAGAGGCAGTGGAAGGAGGAGGAGGAGGAGGAGAAGAAGCAGCAACAGAAGCAGAAGCAGGTGCGGAATGAACAGACATAATTTGCAGAAGAGTTAGAAGAAGAAGAAGAAGAAGAAGAAGAAGAAGAAGAAGAAGAAGAAGAAGAAGAAGCCGAAGCCGAAGCCGAAGCCGAAGCCAAAGCCGAAGCAGAAGCAGAAGCAGAATCAGCAGAATATGATGAAGCAGAAGACGAAAAAGAAGGAGAGTGAGGGAACTCCAGGAAGGCTAAGAAATGACTGCCGAGGTTCCTGAGTCCGGTTGCGACTTGAGAAGCACACTCTTTGGGAATCTGTGGTTCCTTGAGTTGTTGTTGGGGCCCATTCCGAGTCTTTCTCCAAGTTCAAATTGCTTTAACAAAGCAAAGGTATATAACGAACTCACACATCGGGATTTTAAGACGGGCTTAACCAAGAGCAATCAGGCCGTCTTAACAGAGCCGGTCGGGTATTCACTTGGAGTCATCTGGCTTTGGGGGGACTGTTCTTCCACTGAATCCGATTTTTGTTGAGCTTCTTTTTCAGAAACACGCAACAGAGCCCCCCCACCCCCCAAAACGCCGCCCGGCTCTGGGGCATGTTCGGCTCTGGCGTTTTGACAGGAGCCGGGCTCCGCGCTTTTTTTTTCAGGCTCAAGTTAGAATTGCCTTCGCGATTGTGGCTCGGAGCGACTCGGCTTGGATCGGTGAAACTCAATGGCACATTCCCTGGTAAGCCTCAAGGGATGTTGGTTTTCTCGCTTTTGTTCTTTCCCCCCCCCCCCCGGAGATTTCCAGATCATTCAGGTAACCCTTAGTTGGTGGTTGGGATTGGTGGTTTGGATTGGTGTTTGAACCTTTGGGTCTTGAGGGTAGCCCTCCGCTCCACGAATTGCTGGGCCCCCACCCACCAATCCAATCCAGCGGTTGCGCCCAAATGGTTCAAAACCGGCTTCTATGGAGGCTTAGATTTTCTGGTCTTTTGGGGAAGATGGGGGTTGTGGCGGGAGGGGCATCATTTTTTCCGAAAGGTTTACACATGCTTAAACTGAAACGTAGGGACCCCCAAAATGGTGGTTATCCTTTGGATTTCCCCTTAAAGCAACCAAGAAAAGCTAGCCTCAAACAGAGGGCACACCCAAATGGCCACATGGGGGGATTTTCTGGCAGTGACCGGCTCGACCTCGAGAACGGCGAATCTTTCGCCCACCTTGGGGGGGGGTTGGGCAAATGGTTGGTAGAAAAGCCGGGGGTTCCGGGAAGTGAAGCAACGAACCTTGGCTTAGAAGCTACAAGCGTCCTGTCCGGGAACAAAGGGGAAAGCAGTGGATTTCGGGAACGATTCTACTTGTGCAAGCTTGGGGCGCTGAAACTCTGACTGTCACTTTGTGCAGGGCTTCTTGTATTTTGTTCATACTTGAAGATCTTGGGCCTGGTTGAAGCAAGTTGCCGAGTGTTTAAGGAGGAAATATAGGGAGCCCTGTTGTGCGGTAGAGGATTCCCTGCCCCAGATTCGCGTCGTCAGATGAGACTCACGGGTTTCGCAAGACTGGGTTTCGTGCTCTTCTTTGGGTTAAAAGAGGCAAACCAAAAGGAAAGGAGGTCCCCCATTTTACACAGACCCGAAATAGAGGTTGAAGAAACATTCGGGGGTTTGCCTTTGGCGTTCCCTTGCAACAGCCCGAGCCCCAAATGGGTTGACATGAACAGGTGCCAACAGGGTATCGAATGTTCCCTTTTGGGCTGCTGCAAGGTGAGTTTTACGGGTTGGCGGACCCCTTTGGGTTGGTATTCAAAGTGGGGCCAAAAGGAAACCCATTTGGCAGGCCATTAATTTGAGAACCCCCCAACATGAAAGAATGTATATGACAATACATGAAACAACATACAAATATATATATATATATATATATACACACACACATGTGTATATACTGTATATACATAGACACACTCGATTTTGAGGCCTCACCTGCCCTCCCAGCTGAATCAGGATCGGCGACCTCGTCGAAGTTTTTCGCAATGGCCACAGCCTTGGATCGGGGGAACTGGTGGTCCTCGTTAGGTCGGTTTGGATGGAGATAGGTTCTGCCCATGGGTGTCAAAAATAGATGTCAATCATCTACCAGGGATATCCATCTATTTCCCCTAAAAGGACACCTATGGTTTGCCTATTTATGATATCAGCGGCTCCACCGATGCGGGGTAACGAGCGAAAGCCATGATAAAGGCCCTTGAGGATCCCTTAAACCGGATCCCTTAAACCGGCTTTTGGATTTAGAGTAAAACTTGCAGATTCATCAGATGAGTTGCCTGGTATAGAGTGGTCTTGTTCCATATCCCAGAAGGTCACGTATGGTCGCGAAGGAGTTCATTGGCTGGCATGTTCATTGGTTCTGTTCGTTTTTGGTAGGCTGCAAAAAGCAAATTGTTTTGCTGACATAGCAAGGGTTGGGCAGATCCCCCACAACAAGTCCAGTGGGGGTGGTCCCCTGACAACCATGGGTAAAATGGGGTGGTTTAAAGAGACACAGAACAGCGCCATCCATTTGCAGGAGCCCCCGATTCTCAGAAACATATGGACCCCTTCCCGGGCATTAAATCGCTGTTGCATTGGTGAACTGTTTCGTCAGGGCAGGCTTCGCTCATCATTTAGGAGGCCCAACAAGCTTGGCCAAGCTCAGGTTTCAACTTGGACTTTCGTTTTGAACCAACGCAAAGGTTGTATAAATAACCGCGGCCTAGAATGTATACTTCCATGGCTGATGTCCTACGGAATTGATGTACTGACACTTTTGTTGGCGATGGGCTTGCGGTGCTTTGTGTCAAGATGATAGGAGATGACTTGAGGTGACATAGCTGTTGCATCAGAGCACAGGCTTGGCAGCTCCGAACACTCTTGGACGCTTGCGCCGTAAAATGACAGACACACAGCGAGCCTCGAGTGCACAAACCTGTGAGATCAGTTGTTTATTTGTTTATTTATTACTTGACTTTTTTTTTTTTTAAATGTGTGAGTTTGGTAGAGAACTGTGTCAGTTAGGTTCCATCACCTACTGGTGACGTCTACTATTGCAAAATGTAGTGTGTTACAACTTTGCCCCATACTACCATGATGGAGGAAAGCCACCATAGAAATCCTAGGTGTATGGTCGAACATTGACCACGATTGGGGGGCTTCCTAATTCTTTTTCATCCCAGCCTCTTTGTGCGCTTCTTACCGTTTCAGTAGTCCCTTCACACAGATCGGGGGTTGACAAAGACAGAGCTCTCATGATTGTTATTCGCGGTCTGGAAATATGCGGTTTTTCGGGTGGTTCAAGTTTGACCCATACCCAGAACCAATTTGTTGAGGTCATTTGACCCCAAAAAACAACAGACCAGGACACAAACATACCCATTGACCAATTTGTTACCTTTGACCCCAAACAGGACACAGCCACCTGCAGGCCAGGCGCTCGCTTCTGGTGGCCTTGGCGTGGGGGCTCAGCGCCGGGGGGAGGTGTTTCAACGTTGGGTTGGTTCAGAAATATATATGTATATATATATACAAATAGATATATTTTCTCAGGGTTGATTCCAACCATTCTTTTCAACCACCGTTCTTTTCAATATCCAGCCGCTTTCTTTGGGGTTTCGGAGGTTTTCTAGAAAGAAGGATCCCTGGAAAGAATGGGGAAGGTTTCCCTAGATTTTCCTGTTGTTTGCTAAAGGGCGCATGAGTGGCAGCGCTCCACACTCGTGCCGGGAAACAACCCAAAATGCAAATGAGGGAGTTGAAGCTCAGCTCAATGGCTCAGGTCCCGTTCAATTCCTCTCGGATCTTGGGGTTGACTCAGAACAGACCTGTTGCGCTCACTGATGGGTAAAAAAAAGCCGCATGATGGCGATGCCGTACCTGGATGCATGTTTTTTTGTTTTTTGTTATTTGGCCTTGTGGTTTCCCTTGAAACACCAACCGAAAGGGGGGGGTGCAAAGCACTCGGTTGGCAGGGATCCATCCCCAAAAGTTGCTGCTTGGTGATTAAAGGGAGGGTTCCCAGAAAAATCCTCTACAACATCCAGGGGTTCAAATCCCAAACCACCAATCCAAAGCACCAACAAAGGGTTAACTGAAAGAGTACTGCCTCCAGAGGGCGAATTATTTCGGACCCCCATTTCGAGACGGAATCAAGGAGTCTTGTGGTGCTTGGCGTACAGGGACATGTTTTTTTTTCTTTTTTTTTTTTTTTTCTTTTTTCT